GCTTCTCCTGGTACACCAGCCGCCGCCGCGGGTCGCTCTGACCACGCACAAATACACACCTTTCATTTACAATGTTAGCACAACTTATGTCAAATGACACTTTAAAATATTAATTTAACTTGGTGTCTTTGGAAAATTACTAACGATGTAGGTTGGTAATTATTATTATGTATTATTATCAAGAGGAAAGATTTGTATTTACCATTAAAAAGCTATATTATCACAGTAACATAAGCTTTTTTTAATTTAATGCGGATAAATTTATGAGCAACATCAAGTAAAATGCATTTTATTTGTATAAGATATTATTACAGACTTACAAACAAGTACCTACTCACCATTTCCTCAGTTACAACATTACTGAGAACCAGATCCAGATCACAGCCCATCCTCCCGCAGCCATTCACCGAGGAGCCAAATGGCTGCACCTCCACATTGGCATACAGACTCTTGAATATTAGTTCAAACTGAAATCATGAGATTTTAATTACCTCAATACAATGCATAATTTCCAGAAAGGTAATTTGAGAAAAAGGTTCTCAGTTGTCTCACCTGCCTTGCCACCATAAATCTAAGTCTTACACCTAAGTCATTTAACTTAGTCCTCTCATACAAGTGTTGTATTTGTTGTGTGACTGTCTCACAATTTAGCAACTCATCATAAAGCACATCATCATCAACTGGCTCAATACCATCTTTTATGGTAAGTTTCTTTGTACTAGGACAACTGTACTTCTCTTTTTTATTAACAGCAGCTCTGAACCAGAGGAAGGGAGATTCTATGGCCATCACATCGACATCCTTTTGATGAGAACTGCATGCTTTCAGGACTTCTTTAACATTATCTTCTGTTTCAAATTCAATAAGCATAAAGTGCTAAAAATAAAACAATAAAACAAACATTTTACAACAGTTTTAATTTGTTGTTTTAATATTCAAATTATCATAATCTTACCTCTTTTTCAGAGTTTCTATAATGGTGTATATCCTTAATAGAAGCATATTTTGAACAATATCCATATAATTCGTTGAATGACGTATCAGAATTAACTTGAACTACAAGACTACGTCGGGCCTCGGCTTTTCTTTCTGCTATTACATCGCTAAAACTTTTAAATTTTTTTACAGGATCTGAAAACAATTTTAAGACATAACCTCGAAAACAATTATTTCAATTCCATATTTTAGTAAACAATACCTGAATAGTTTCGTAAGAATATGGAGTTGCAAATAGGAGCATTTAAACACTTTCGAATAAAAGAAAATTTCCCAGTTTGAAAAAATACAGTCATTTTTAAATTAAAAAGCTCAAAACAAAACATCAAACATCAATGTGACATTGTCATTGTCAATCAAGTGTCAACGTCAAAAAAGTCGGAAATTGATCTTAAGTCCTAGTAAGAAAAGAACCTAACAATTCGTTTTGCGAAAAATAAATTCAATTTTAATGTTATACCCAATTTGACGCTATTTTTCTTGTTCAATAGTGAAAAAAAAAATACAACGTTTCACATTTACCCTCCTATTATCCTTTTTAAAACGCTAAATTCTTTTCCAACATGTTGGACGGTTACTTTCCCCCGTCCGGGGCTCTGGAGGTGTGGGGCTATTGAAACACTTTCTTCTAGTTAATCATCATTATATTTAAGATATCTGAACCATTTTTTATACAAAGTCTATTAGTCCTACAATGTTACTTGTTCAGTGTCGAGATGTGAAGTCTATCAATATTTCATCAAATGTCGAATCCTTAATAATTTAAATTATATATTATTCTAATATTAAAAAACCATTCTTAGTGTGTAAAGTGTTGCCTGCCAGTATACAAACATATAAAAACTCCAACACAACAAATTATTCTATTTTGAATTTACACTACTTTAACAGTTTTTGAACTGTATGTTTTTATGTTCTTTTGACAATACGTCAACGGAGAATAAGGAATACGAAAAATAAGAAAATTTAATTTATGTGAAAAGACACTTGTAAACAGTAATCAGTTTTTATAATATGCGTATTTGATCAAAAATGGGCACACGACTACTGCAACGGTTCCTTCCTATTGTAAACAACACCTTTAGAAGTCGTCCTAACCTCTACCTTCATGGGGAGAGAATTTTACAAGTCCCTACAAATTTTATTGCAGTCAGAAACTATGCAAAAGGCAAAGATAAAGGTAAAGAAAAAAAAGGTAAAGGTACAAAAGTAGAAATTAATCCGGCTATGATGTCAGAAGTAGTTGCTGTAGATAAGATTCAAGAACGATGCAAAGCTGTTATCGAGAAATTAAAAGACGATTTCGCTAAAAATTTATCCCTCAGATCCACAACTGGTTCAATTGAATCTCTTCTAGTAAAGTTTGAGGGAAAGGAATATGAACTTCAAGAACTCGCACAGATTGTTCGTAAGAATCCTAAAACTATAGTAATACATTTTTCATCCTTCCCACAAGTTATACCTGATGCACTTAAAGCTATAAGTAAATCAGGTTTGAACCTGAATCCTCAGCAGGATGGTACAACACTGTTTGTACCTGTTCCAAAAGTAACAAAAGAACATCGAGAAGCTTTAGCTAAAAATGCAAAAGCTTTGTACGTAAAATGTAGGGATTCCTTAAAAGATGTGCAGAATGACTTTATAAAGAAAGTAAAAAAGCAGACTGGGATTTCAGAAGATCTAGCATTTAATGTAACAAAACAAATTACAGCCATGTGCGATGATTATCAAAATGAGGCAAAAAGCATTTATGAAACAAAGCATGTTGAACTTGTTGGTAAATAGAATATAAGAGTTCTGCCATTTTAGGTTTATTTAGATGCAATATTATTTTTCTTAAAAATCATGCATTGAAGAAATATGTTAATAAAATTCGTTACACAGAATAATATTTTATTTTGTATTGGCCTATTTCCCATTATATATGTGGAACACCTGCTATTTTTGTCCATAAAACTACTTCTTCCGGTATTGTCTAATAACCATGAGTGTTGATTACAACCTTGGTGTTTCAGCTGTTCATTTAGTCTCTTCTCTTAAAACAAATACTCGAATTACGTTTACTTGTTAATTTTTTTCAAAATGTCTGATCCATAAAATTGAAACTGGTTAAATGCAACTTAGTTTATTAGGAGTACTTTCTACTGCGCTGTGTTAATTGAAGAAACAGTTTTAATTATTCACTAATAAATATCTTAATATCTCAATAATTAATAACGTAATTCAATAAAAATAATAATGTAATAATAAGAAAAAAGAAAAGTAGTCAAACACTGGAGTTTAAATATTTCTGTGAAAAAATAAATTAAAGCGACACCCAAGTGACGTTTCAACGTCAGATATGTCAAAGTCAAATGTCAAATTGGGATAACAACAGGAAGAACAGTTGTTTTGTTGTGTTTGAAAAGTTGTTTTGATCTAATAGGCTTTTATATTCACGTGTAGTTTAGTAACATGAATAGTGGTAAAGATAAGAATATAAAAGGCTACGGTAGGGTCATGTCGCAAGTGTATAACCGTCCTCATAGCAATCTTAAATCAACTTCTAGTGTTTTGAGTCATGTTTCAACAGATGTTGGCGCCAAACGACCATCTGTTTCAAGTTCAGGTGCTAACACCCGACCTAAGTCTGGTGTTTTTAGTGATTTACCAATTGTACTTAACGATTACGTTCCTGATATTAAGAAAGACTTAAAACAGAGCAGCGTAGTTAAACCGAGACGAACATTAAAATCATTAGAACCAGGGAAGAAACCGATTCCTACGGTAGTGAGAAATGTTAAGTGCGATGAAGGTGGTCGTTCTTTGAACGTGTGTGCGTCTGCCCCTTCTGTACTAGGTGGAAAAGCCAGTAGATGTCCAGATCCAAATATCAGGCACTGTTTGTCAAGCAGGTCCCACTCTAGGCTAAAAGAATTAAAGGTTTGTAGAAAATCGTAACAATCTAAAAACAAAAACATACACAGTTATAGTAAATATGATTTGTTTTTTTTTTCTTATTTAAAGTAGTTTTATCTAATGCCTGTACAGAAATACTTAATTAACTATTTTCAGGATGAAATAAAAGCATATCAAGATACTGAACAGTTATTAAAGCTGAGAAGTAAACTGTACAAGAGATGTGGTGTTGTGTTAAATGATGTCGGACAGGTGGCTATGGACAAGGCTGTGCAAGCGGAGGACATAGGTAATTTTCTTTTCATTTTGAATTTAAAAAACATGGTAGACCACTGGTACCATTATTTACGATTAATTAAGGGAAGTATAAAGTCCATGATTAAATTAATCAATTGTATTTAAACAAAAATTTCCTTTGAAATATTCCGATGTTGAAAATAATGCCAATTTTTACTGTTGAATGATATTTCACTAATGTTAGAAATAGCGCCCTCTAGTATTTACAAATTAATATTGTACTTATGGTATAGATGGCAGCAGGTGTATATTTGTTACGTGCAATTAAAAAATCATAGTCATTTGATTGCTAACATGTCATTTGAAAGATAAAACGCTATATAATGTAATAAAAATTGTTTAAACAAAAAAATGCTTTTGAAGTAAGTTTTAACTTTTCGCATTCATTGTCGTAGCCGAAATAGCTCAGTTGGGAGAGCGTTAGACTGAAGATCTAAAGGTCCCTGGTTCGATCCCGGGTTTCGGCAATCATTTTTTGCGCTTTTTTTATTTTTAACTTTTAATGACTGGGATAAAGATTTTTAACTCGTTTTTATTAAGGAAATTGAATCTCGAATATTATGAAACAAGAACACGTTCATAATAAGGTTATTAAACTTATTTGACCATTAAAATTAAATAGAATAATTATTTTTTTTTCAGATGTCAAACAAGACGAATTGAGGTAAGTAAAATGTATTAATTACTTTATTCAACGAGATTTTAAGTAAATTAGTTTTTCTCAATTTTACCATATGTAACTGGACTATAATTTCGCATTATCCTGCATCGCCTCTTTAGCTCAGTGGTAGAGCACTGGTCTCGTAAACCAGGGGTCGTGAGTTCAATCCTCACAGGAGGCATCTTGACTTATTATTTTTTTTTATAATCTTATTATACCTAACCTAACAAAAATCAACTTTGCAAATTACCATATTTTGCATTGCTACATTTTTAACTTCAAAACATGTCTACGTCGTTTAGTCATTTTCGTATTTTTAAATCTTGTGTTGGTACCAAAGTTCTACGCTAGATGGCGTTATAAGTAATGCTTAATACTTAAAAACGTGTGATAACATTTTTTTAAATATCAGGTTTACGCTTTATTATACTAGTAAAGATAAGATTTATATAATAAAAAACAGGTACACAGGAAGCGTGTCTGTTACCACTAGTCCAGGGCGCACGAAGTCGGGATGTCATGTCCGCTTCCCGCGCTAACTTGGCACACCGCCAAACTATTCCGTGTCAAACTTTCCATTTGTTTCAATTCGATTTCACAGAAACAAATGATTTCAACTAATGTCTGCCAAAAAGAAAACACGGAGAGCTAAAAACAAACATACGAACGTACAAACGTAGCCTATAAGTCCCGCCCCTTTATGCCCTTATTTAGCCAGGAGAAGTCTGACGCAATCCCTAATCAATGAACGCACCTTTTGCCAAGCCCTTTAATAAAAGTATACGCATCGCGTTCTAACATTGATGTTATGAAAGAGATGGCAAATGGTTTATATTTAAGTTGATATGAATCGAATGCAGAGGGTTGGCACAATTGCACTCTCACTGCTCCTAAACAAATTGTTTGCCAAATCGATTAATGCGCAAGTTTCGAATGTTATTTATGTGTTTTGCTTAGGACTATAATTATCATTGATTTCTCTATCAACATTTTACTTTGTATGCTGGATAAAAAGTCAAAAGTCATAATGCACGCTTTGCTCCTGATAAAAGGACTAAATATGAACATTATTGCAGAGGCGTTTACTAAAACACAAATGTGTTGACAAACTTTTATTTTCACGACTAGAAACAGATAAGTGACATACAAGAAGGGAGTGACTGAGATGCAGGAAGATAGGTTAACCTGGAGGTCGAAATCCAGGTAACCAACCCTGAAACGTACCTTGTAATGGTATCCTGGTACGGGAGGAGATAAGGATGGGGAGATGATCAAGCAAATGTAATCTTTATTTGTATGTATACTGCTGTTTATGACTTTTCCATCCAATTCAGCGTAAATTGTTATTTGACTTAACATTAACCGATGCCAAAATAAATGTTTTTCGTATGAAATTACGTCATTAAAATACGGAGTTATCTGGGCTAATTAAAATTTCCGAATCCTCGTGGAAGTTATAAAATGGTCGTGTGAATTCGAGAATAACGCAACGTCTCACTTGGATTGTCGCCAACTGTTACAACTCTACAAATATATCTTCGAATTATGTATTTATATATTTTTTATTTTTATATATACCTACTACAACAATAGATAACACAGCAAATGGTTCAAGGAACGAACTATTGAATGAAATGAAATTCTTCTATAACTCTTTTAGTTGCCGATGCAAAACTTAAGATGAAAAAGTTGTAAGGCCAGTTGAAACTATGCTTCGTTTCCACCCTCACTGTACAAAATTTACGTGTATGTTGTCTCGTTTTTTGTAAAGAGAACGATAGAGACGTCAATATTTTCTGCACATATGCAGCATAGGAAATAAATAAGAGAATTGAATTCACAAACACAGAAATCTGTATTCAGGCATATCTAAATCGAAATTTACGATCGCATATAACTGCCGTAAAATATTATTACATTTTTCTTGTATTACATAATATTTAAACATAGTAAAGAATGCATGGAAATCTGAATAACTTTTCGCTTCGTCGAAAAAGGTTTACAATTATTACATAATTATAAAATCGCTTAGCCATTCTTGAATATATAGAAAACATGAATATGTGTGTTTTTTACTTGAAACGCTTTAGTTATATAATAATTGTATGCATACAGAAAACATAAACACACAACAACACTAATCAGCAGGGCTTCCCTGAAGAGGAAACTTAAAGATTTGTTATTACTTTAATTAAGAAAATTGTTCCTATTTCATTTTTTTCATCACTCCATATATTTAAAAAAAATAATAGTTAAGGTTTTTTTCTGTATTTACTACTTATTTTTTTTATTTTTCATTTGATTTGTATACTATGTTTTTCTTTATTTCATTGTAATTTTGCTTGATAATATTTATAAATGATTAAAAGATGCGACGCCTATAAACCACGTAAGTGATTTGGCGGGAATGACTTATGTAACTATGTTATAATATTTTGAAAATATAGAAATTAAAAAAAAATGATTCCATATCAATACATCAAGTTTTACTTTGGGGATTTCCCGGTGCGAGGCCTGATAAAGTATTTTTATAGTTTAACTTATTTCTTTGGGCTGGGGGTTTAAGGGGGCATGTCACGTTTCTTGCCCCGTGCAGCCTTCTACCGAAAGTTCCAGAAAAAGCCAACAACGTGACCGCTTTACAAAGTTTATTCGTTTCTTTAACTTCTCACGTTTCTGCCCTTTTCGGTTACAGTTTACGCAATTTTTCTTGTGGTAAAGTTTCGTTTGACGACAATCCGTAGTTTTATATGGCTTCTGATTGTTTTCTTAATGATGAAAAACTTTGAAACTTGGAACTTTAATATAGTTTTATTAGAAGACGGTATTGTTCTGGTGAACGATCAATTTCGCTATGAAGATCATGATGATGAGGTTAAAGGTCGCTCCTAGGTCTAGTTCGATAGTCTGATAACTAAATCTGACTGAACTCTGTACAATCTGCTGATAATCTACCACGATGAGAACCTTTAAGGTGAGGCGTTTGTGCTACAACGATCCATCAGTTACGACTCCTAGCAGTCATCATATTTGGTTACCAAAGCACGTGCGAACATAACTAGTACTTCAGCAAAGTGTATAGTGCTTGTTATTCGTGTTACATCGCGGGTGGTGTGCGGGGTGGTAACCTCCCTAGCTCCACATGACACGTCTGTAAGCTCTCAAGTCACGTCTATCGGCCAGTTGTTATTCCACTAGTGTAGTGCGCAAGTTGTGTGGACAAGGACGCCTGCCAGCCGACTTCAGCTGAACGGACGCTGACACGACTGGTTCATTGACAGTGAATCGACATTTAAATAAAACGTAAAGGACTGCCAGGTTTGATCGACGAAATACCATGAACAGACAAGAGGAAATCGTACTCTAATGAAAGAATCATTCTATGCTTTGTCTAACTAAATCCAATTCTAGTACTCTATATTTTTTTTAAGTAGACGTGATGCTAGAAAAGCGACGTTCTTCTGTTTATCTTCTTCTTTGTCCCCTAGTTACTTGTAAACCAATTGAACTGTTAGTCGCAAGTCGTTTTGTCGAGTCGCAAGTGGTCGTACTGTCGCTCGTATCTGAGCACCATGGTGGCTAGTGCGTCACGTTGCGGAATCACAAATAAGCAGTATGTAAGCTGTGCACGTACATGTTGGAGCACGCTGCGAGCCTGCCAGCGTATTGCCTTGCCATGGTACACTACCTTAGTGATAGGTGGTCGCGGGTGTTGTCGCTTGTAGCGGTTATAATTGGACGTAAAATAGATAAGTATACAGTATCTATAGGAGCATTATTTTAAGTATGATGCATTTGTGTAACGTAAACATTTAGGTCTGTATCTAGTGTGTATAAAAGTGAGCTCAATCCGCTGCAGAAGCTAATTTATGTTGCAATTAGCAATACTTCCGCGTCCATCGCACACGCTCATTGTCCTAATCTGGTTACGGTCGGTGCGGCGGCGGTAATGCAATTACTATTCAAGTACACAACAAGGTCGCTTGCTCGCCTCTGACGTCACGCATTGTGTGTCGTTGACGCAATGTTGTCACCGTTGCCAAATTTAGGTTGACATGTTTATGTAATTGTTGACTTCATAGTTTGTGAACTGTCCAATTATTAACTGAGAAGACTAACTTCATATAATTGCAGTTTGATACAAACAGAATTGTTAAATCACATTGTAACCGCACCCTTAACTTGGCACGGCACCAACACTAATCCTCACAGAATAATGGGATTTCTTATTTTATGATCCTAGCGGTCCGATCGACTCGAAAGTGCCCCATCTCGATAATAGAGTGATTTCTGACTATTTTTACGAATTTTCACACATTTTTTTCTTATTGGACATGTGATGTTTCCGTGGTAAGATTGTTATCGAGCAGAATGTTGAATTGATAAGAAGTCGGTCAAAAAGGATTACGATCACTGTGAGTCAGCGAATGTCAAAATTTTGAAAAGACGTAATATACAATTTCCTTTCAAATACCATTTTATCAACTAATCTTGCACAATACAAGGCACATGTATTTTATTTTCCTCATCGTTTGGCTGATGCAATCGCGACACGTCAGATTTTTAGATAAAGGTTTCCAGCAAAGGTATACAGTCAACGAATGACAAAATCTAATACCTAATTGACATAAACTTGATTAAAAAGACAAATTTTGTTAGCATTTCGTCAGCTTTGAAACCTGCGAGTCTGCAAATGACTTTAGATTGATGTCTCGCGATGTCACGTGGCTGTGACGCGTGTCACGCTCGTACGACACGTTGCCGTGATGCAGCGATAGCTCGGGAATGCAGCGTGCTAGCGTGACGGCGTGACTGTTGTCAGCGTGTCGGAGCGGCTATCGCGCGGCCTTGGCATTGGCATTGGCGTTGCGCGCTCGACCGTGCTAATGCACACATCTATTGCTGCGTGTTTCACTAACACGTCGATAGCTTACTCTATTAACAGTGTTTTTTAACTCTATTGCTTACTTGTAATTTATGGTTTGTTTTTAAAGTCCACGAGC